TAGGCCGGTTTCAGAGGGGAAGAAACTGTTCAGGTGGAGAGAAGTTTTGGTCCTGATGGAGTGCAGCCTCCTGCCAGAGGGTAATTAATACTAATATGATACCATAAAGGTTGAACTACACACAATGTACCCTCAGTGCAGGCACAGTAACAGAGAACTCACCCTCATTCCTCCTCTCCGGTCTCTGCGTTGACTGACGGCGTCTCTCGCTCTGTCTTTGTCTGCTTGTGTCGCCGTTTGATTCACAACATTTGCCTCCTTTGGTACCACCCCTCTTTTACGAAGTTCAATCTGGGGAGTATTGGGATTATCTAGTCACTTTATATAAAATAAAACAGGATGAATTCAAACCAACTGCTACTGAATAACAGTCTCTACCACACCTTTGAGTCCTGCCCCTGGCTGAATATGGTGGGCACGGCGTCCTCCCTCAGAAACTGTTTTCCGTTGTAGTCCCTGAAGCAGTCGGCCCTGAAGTGCTCCGAGCAGAGGCAGGTGTTGGCTGTCGGGATGAAGTTTTTCATCCCCAGGCTGTGCACCCATTTGCTGGCGAGTTGAGGTTTGCTTAGCGGGAACCTGATACGCAGGAGAGAGAGGCGAAGATTTTTAATGAGGATGCATGACTTTAACCATCAACACTTTTAAGATAATGTGTTACAGCCTGAGGGTAAACTGTAGATAAAAGAGGTCAAAATCTCCTTAGATGATGTACATTTTTCTTGCAACTAGACATGCTTTTACAGTTACATGAGCATATCTAAATAGGTAATCTTAACACCTGGACAAACTGCTGTCCACATATGTAAATCATGTTCTCATTAACTGTATGTTGTGAGGGGTGTTGCTCTATATAATTGATACAGTGTATAAAGTAGGATCATGAGAAAATAATCAAGTAAAGTATAAGGACCTCATTTTTTCCTGAAGTACAATACTTGAGGAAATGCAGAGTTACATTACACCATTGGGAGCCAGTTAAAGATAATTATACGTAAATGAATACAGCAATGAACCGAGCTACAACAGGTAATGTTTAGTATGTATAGGCTAAAGTCTGAGGCAGCATGGTATAAATATGGTATCAATACGCACATTGAATCCGAATGTTACCTTATGGTTGAAATATTGTCAGTGACAGTCAGTGATGTAAAAGCAGATGTATCTCTGTATTAATGTCGGTTTCCTAAATGGCAGTTGATAGATCAGTTATCCTAAAACTTCCCCTCAGTCCGAGCGGTGAAAACTCACCTGTAAAATCTGATCTCCGACCCTTTGACAAACCTATTGTTGCACCCCATCGCTGCACAGATTACGGGCATTGTGTCCTTTCTGTTGCAGATATAGAGATTTCGCAGAAAGAACAACAGCCACTGGCGATTTATTTGCTACAGGTTCTTCTTCGGCGAAGAAAAAGATGTAGATCCACTTCAACTTCCTGTTCTGCCTCCAAAGACTCTGCCCTCTAGCGGCAGATCAGATTTTCATCTTCACTGTCACCATCAACAGCAGATCATTTACTGGCTGAAATAATACATATTGCATTTTTGGCCTGATATATCTCTTGCCTTAATATTGACCATGTCTGATAGAATGTCCAGTCTTAAATCTAGTTTTAACATCTTATATTGCAGCACATAGCAGCATTTTTTTTAATTACAGACATTGGGCTGGTGAAAAGTATTGTGGTATTTTTTGTCTCTGGGTCTCTGGACATAATAATAAGACCTTATGCTAGTCTTCTGGAAAAACTGTTCCCTATTGTTGAACTTTGACAAAATAAACTATTCAAAGAGGCCACATTTGAGGGACCCATCAGTAATGTTGTGCCCACTCCAACCCATTTATCTGACCATGGCCATATAGAACCAGTATCTTATTATGGCAGTTATTTGTAATGTTTAATGTCACAATCCTATTTTACTTTTGAACACAAAATGTATTTTACCAAAACATTACAACTTGTTTGGGGGAGCTTGCTGGTACTTTACAAATGTCGACTAACAGTGGTGGAAGAAGTATTCAGATGTATAACTTGAGTAAAAGTAGCAAGACTACAGTGCACAAATACCTTCTCACTAGACTTTAAGTATTTCAGTACTAGCATAAACATAAAACTTAAGGGTGAATGTTATGAAAAGTTTCTTTCTTAAGTGCTTGTTGATTGTTAATTTTGCTGTCTGGAGTGTTTACCAACCAAGAAAATGGTAAAAAAACAAACATTGATTGATTCCACAAGCCATTCATGGATTACACCCAAACTATAAGCCATCAAATAAACATACTACTACTACCCTACTATTTAGTATGCAAGAAAAATATCTAGCGTATTTAATTCAATACATATTATATATATTATTGTTGATGCATATAATGTTTTGGGTCAATTTATTATGCAGGCTGGTAAAGAGGGTGGTGAACTTTATTCGAATGATTTTATATATTTCTGGATATCTTTATCCTTATCCAAATCAAAGCTCCTAAATACATAGTGGTGTACAATATTCCCTCCAAAATGTACGGGACTAGAATTATAAAGTAGCATAACATGGAAATACTCTGGAAAACTACTTCAAATACAGTAGAGTAAAGGTACTTACATTCCACCGCTGGATGCTGCCCGTCAGCCTGCACTCTGGGCAGTAAAGCCCTCTCTCAGCCTGATGAAATCTGTTTCCTGCTGCGCCAGCCGAGCCACCCGGAGCCGCTGAATCACATGATATAACTACGCTGCTAGCGAGCTAACATGTTAGCTTTGGTTGTCAGAGCCGCTGTCAACAGACCCAAAAGGACGGAGTAGCAAACAAAGAAGAGGGTGCAAACTCATGAAGTCTCTGGCAAGTCAACCAACGTTGTCCCTTTGTCATGTTTGTGGTATCCTTGATGTGAAGTTAGCTAAGCTAGCTAAATTGAACTTGTTAAAAGGGAGTTGCTTCCGAGTGCGGGGGTGTAGCTAACCTAAACGATATTGGCCTTGTTGAGATTGACTCTGAAGCTAATCTCACCTAAACATCCGGTTCTGTATGTTTTTACTAGCAACATTTGAAGGCCAGCGAGTTAGCTAGTGATATATTCAAATGTTTTTTTCATGTTAGCTCATGTTGACGCTGAACCTGCAGTTAGCTACAATGATGTGTCTGTCAGTTAACTGTGTGCCTAACTAAGGTTAACCTGGCTAATGTTAGCAGTGAGTGTAGTAAACTACAAACTACTGGAAAGTATCGTCATTCTCAACGCAGAACGTGTCTCAAGTTGCGAAATTATCTGTTTACATTATATAACATGATTGCGAAATAAACGTCCACTTTAACACTAACCACCGACGCTAGTGTTACCTACAAGTTAGCCAATTTAGCTTTACACAGGCTGCCAGACTGTGTTTGGTTTAGCACATTTCCTTAATATTTGTGGTTGCAGTGTGCATGTGCCAAAACAAGATTTGAACTGAGAGCCCATATGTATCCCTGTTTCCACTTGTCTGTTTTAGCCCTCTGTGTGGGCGTTTGAGTCACAGACATCCGTTGCACCTGTTGTGAGTCCAGTCGGACTTGCTTCTTTATATTGGTAATAGATTTTGACCTCACTTTATTCCCAACACAGCTCCACCCAGTGTTAATCTATCTATAGGTCTGTCAGAAGAAGTGAAAACATATGGGTGGGTCTGCAAGGCCTTAAATCACTGGATGTACTTCTTCTTGCATCTGTGTGTTTGTGGGAACATTGATTTAATTTGGAGCCTGTGACTCTCGAAAGCACTGACTCTGCTTTCACACCAAGATGTTGCTGAGTAAGGATGTCCATTTTTACATCTCTTGAGGCGTTAACATCCGTTGGTACTCCTGAGACTTTTAGAAAGCAACATTTCCCACTCAGTCATGCTGACTATGTTTTATAAAAACATTTTAGTTTTTGTCTGACTGGTAGGCACTTGCATTATGAGCACTACTTTCTCACAATCAATCTGTGACACACCTATGTGGTTGCTTATGGTGACCGTAACAAAAACATAGTTGCATTTTTCATCAGACTTTACATTTTCCAGCGCATATATTGAAATAGCATTTTTACCAACCAGGAATCAATATTAATCATAGAAATCGAAAGAAACCAGATACTAAGTCATTATTATAAGTAGTATCTTAAGTATTGTAATTTTTTTGATGATAAATGTTTAGGTTGTTTCAGCACTGGTCCTGGCTCTACAAAATGAGTTGTAAAATATTGATTTGTCAATTAGTCAATTGGCCTTTTGTAACATACTGTACAAGAAGGCTATATACTTCACAGAACAAGCCAGTGATGAGGCTGTGAGTTATAACATGAAGATGAAAAACATTACATTTGTTTTAAGCATTTGAATTTATTCTGTACTTTATTGATTTTGGTGGCGAGTTCATTTCATTTCCAGCATTCTATGAAAACATGCTCATGGACAAAGGTGACTGATAAGATGCAGAGGACATTGGACTTGAGCAGAGATCATTGTGGAGAGGACATGAGTAGAAATGTTTTACAACCAAAGAATGTGAATTCACCCAATAAAACTTGATGCCTTTGATTACCACACCTATTTTAAAATCTAGATTTTTGCTCAGATGTTTTATCCACATTGCTGACATGACATTTTACTCATTGATTTGTGGATTCTCAATATGTGATCATTACACCTCAATCTAGCTAAATGCAATATGTGTTTTTGTGAGGCTTTGAGTGTTAGCAGCCTTTACAGTTTGTAATTTGAGGCAGTCGACCACACTAATGGCTATGTTTTCAAACAATAGATGGGCTCATCCTTAGGTGTCTGTGTTGTATGAGGCTGTTTGAGTAAAATGGGCTGTTTTTTATTCTCAAAGAAGAATAAGGAAGGAATGCCACAGCCCTGTGGGGATTTAAGAGCTATTCAAATGACCAATAGTAACCTCTTGTGTTGCCTCTTTCACCCTCCTCCCTCTCCCTCCCTCCCTCTCTCTGTTTTCCCTCCTGTCTCCCATTGGGCATTGTAGAAAGGGACTTCTTTCCTACTCATTCTCTTCAAGATATTGAGTCATTAAACTCCGTCAAATCAGTCACAGAGGTTTGGCATCCTCGAGGCTCATCAGGAAAGTCCTGCATCAGCGCCGGCAAACTGACAGAGTGGACTCACATGGGCAGGATGGATTTATACCAGAAATAAGACGTCAGCTTCAGAGGTAAGTGCAACATTGTGCCTGTTGCAGAGTCACTGTTGCAAATCAGTTTGAGCTAATTGAGGCTTTAAATCCAAATGTTCTCCTTCAGTTTTTTTTTATTATTTAGGCATCACCTTGAGACGGCAAGAACGCTTTGTAGTAGATGGGTTTTTCCGTGGAAAATATAGACTTGTATTAAAAGAATCCCAGTAGATATGTATTATTTTTGGATATTTCTGCTAATTGCATATATTTTAAAATCAAACATACGGTGTTATGAGTTGTACTTGACCTCGTTTGTTGTAAAATTAGCAAATATTGAGGGAACCAAGTCATTTAAAAAAGAAAAAGTGCCAAAACCAACTTTACTCGAACTGTTGTAGCTTTTATCTTGAACTGCTGCAACAATAACTGCTTTACTGGTTATATACCATGTATTTTAAAAGCTTCTCACTAGGGCTTAGAAAATGACTGCCGTCTCTGCTGTCATTGTTTCTTCATGGGTTCTGTTTTCATTATGGATAGACGGTCATATTTAATCACAGTTGGTCTTTCTATTGATTTTATCTGTCTAGTGTTGAGCTTGACCTTCATGGTTGTTGACTCTTGAATTGTTTCATTGGAGACTATGTTTTAATACTTTTATTAAGTACTTTTATTATATTGCATGGCCTGTACGTTTTGAAAATCAGTACAGTACCAGGCTGTCTTCTTCTATGGTTTCCACAGTAGATAGAACAGCTGCCATATTGAAGTTGTTAATATAATTGGAGGGATATTGGGGAATTGTATCCCTTAATATGGTACAGAAAAGGTCACATCACAAACAGTTGCATCATACAAATGTTTTCTGGATGCCCCTTTAGATATAAAACAAATGGGACTAGCAGTCCATTATGTAATATAGCTAAAGATTGACTAGTGTGTCTAGCAAACAAGATTTAGATTGTGCATTTGTAAGTTATTAAAGAGGGTACATTTGTTATAGAATGATAAATAATCCTATAGAACAATCCTACTACCCTGAACTAAGGTGTAGTCTGTCGGCTCTCAGGTATCCATTTTTGTCTGCAGATGCAAAAAAAGATTTCTGGAGAAAGCTCTTTGTTATTGACAGTATTAACATAGACGGCCTGAAAGCTTTTTGTTTGGGGTCGTAAAATTGACATCCTGTCTGTCTTGTCTGTCCATTCATATTTAAAATAGTGTTTTTAATACCTCGAATATAAACAGATTTCTTTTTTTTTATAGTACAAATGTGATTTCCAACAGAGGAAGCACAACCATTTTTATTTTCAAAATAAATAGCAGAAAGCCTATATTTTTGAAACAGGGTTTCCTCTTTGCAGGCTGGTTAAAAATAGCCAAGAATAAAGAACATGTGTGTCTGCTGAATCAGTTTCCTGAAAAGCGCCCCGATGACGCACATGACAAACTTTCACTTCTGCTTTTACAGCCAGTAAAAGCAATTTTTATAGACAGGAGCTCAGTTGTTCTAAAGCTTGTCATATTTGAGATCTCTCTAAGAACTCCGTTGTGGTGTGTATAAGATCGTATTATTTTCCTGCTATTGGTATTATTATTTTCACAAAATGTCAGTTTTGAATGTGTACACAGCATATATACTCACTTAGACTGTTAGCACCTGTTCATCACAATTTATTTCATGTCTAGTTTGTGTTGCCTGTGAGTATCATTCATGTTTTTTTACTTGCACAGGTACACGTTGGTTTCGTAATGACAAGCTGCTGTGCAGAAGATGTCCACGCTGTCTGTGACTGATATTCCAGATGTTGGTCATGGTAAGAGAAAGCACTTCTGTATTAGTCCAAAGAGTGAGATAAACAATGACGGGGTCTCTTCTCTCAGTGAAGGTTTAAATTGTACTATGCCAAGAAGCTTATTCTTGTTCTAGAAATTGCTATCCAGCAGCTGTATCTTTGTACCCTGGCTTATTATGTTGTCCACCTAAAATGAACATCTTGATTTATAATTAAATCACATTTCTGTGTCCATGAGTGGCAGGACTGCTTTGATTTCCACAGCCTCTCACAAAAGAGTGATTTCAACAGAAACCAAAAATGATATAAATCTTGGTCTTTATCCCATGAGCTTTGTGTTATGACATGTGTTTGAGTTGTGTATTGTGTTTATTTTGGACACCTGTCACAATCGAGATCAAGTAATGCCAAACAAGGTCTCGATTGATAGCACCAGTTGGCTGGTACTTGTTTTCAACGTGTGTGTGTGTGTGTGTGTCCTCTGTCAGATGAGAGTAAGGTGTTTGACGGGGCCTCTGAGTTGCAGCTGGACTGCATGGTTGAGGAAGGCAGTGGAAGCACCGCAATGAAGCACGGCGGCCTGCTGTCACTGGCTGACCTCTCCAGGCCAGATGACTTCCCCGCCCCCCCACACAACGGCTCATCCCTGACCGACATAAGCAGCCCTCTGCCGGTGGAGCTGAGCGACATCAAGTTGGACCCTGGATCTGCAGGGGACACACCCGCCAGCATAGGTCAGAGAGAAAAGTTACTCTTGTTAACAGCTGCTGCAAACAACTGAAATGTTTAAAGGAAAGTAAAAACCACAACTATGCAGCATATATTGACGAAACTGAAATGCATATCCTTTTAAGAGGGAGTTGCGTGTGTGTAAAAACAGTGTGCACTTTCTGTTGTGTCACTGCCATTGAACCTATTGCTGAGAGCCCAACATTACTGAATGTGTCACTTTTATGAAAATACTTGGGATGGCATTTTAAGTCCAATAGACTTTTATGATTTCCACTTTTACTTTATTTGGGTCACACTGCAGTGACATTTTAAATATTTTATAGAAATATATTTTCAATGACATTTGTAGTCAACCCCTCTTAAAATAGTCCTACATTTATACTTTAGTTTACATTCCTGTGTGTTTCTTCAGTTATTTGTGTGTGTGTGTACAGTAAGTGTACTGGTTTGACAACTTCCACAGACTGGACCAACCAGTATTTCCTTTGACTTAATCTCTATAATGTCTTGCACATAGTAGTACCCATTAAATGCTAGTTGTGAGCATATATAGATTTTTGCTCTAGAATAACCTGTTTCATTTTCATGTAAATATACAAGTATATTATCTACTGCGATGATTTGAATAGGGATAAGATGCCTGGAAGTACTTATCTTTTCTTCATTTAAATAACGGTAGAGGAGCAGACATTGCCTAACCTCCTGCACACATCAAAAAACCTCAGTACACAAGGTGCAGCCTCAGAGAAACTCACCTTCCTTTTCTTTTTGTATAGATGGCCAGCCAGTGAAGAGGAAGAAGGGGCCTGCGCCGAAGATGCTGGGCAATGAGGTGTGCAGTGTCTGCGGGGACAAGGCCTCTGGCTTCCATTACAATGTACTGAGCTGCGAGGGCTGCAAGGGCTTCTTTCGACGCAGCGTCATCAAAAGCGCCCAGTACAACTGCAAGAACAACGGCCGCTGTGAAATGGACATGTACATGCGGCGCAAGTGCCAGCAGTGCCGCCTGCGCAAGTGTCGGGAGGCGGGCATGCTGGAGCAGTGTGAGTGTGAAGCAGATGTAGAGAGAATTTAGATAAAACAACATTTGAGACTGTGGGTCTTTTCAAATCATGGGAATAAAATGGAACATCCTCTTTGACCTGTAGGCGTGCTCTCTGAGGAACAGATCCGACTGAAGAAGATGAAAAAGCAGCATGAGGATGTGACGGCCCGCAGCGCCACAGTGGTCACCCCTACCCCTCCTCTGGAAACAGTTACTCTGGACCCCCAGCAGCAGGAGATGATCGAGAAGCTGGTGTCCATGCAGAAACAATGCAACAAGAGGTCTTTCCTGGAACGACCCAAAGTGACAGTAAGTGAACGCCTCACAGGATAGATCTGGGTTGACTGTTATATTAACCTTAATGACATTACGAGTATTTTCTTAAACCGTTGTATCGCGGGCCCCTCGGTCTCCCCCTTTCAACACTGTACCTATCAGTAGGTACCCTTGGGCTCAAAAAAAGGGAGTTGCCGAATAGATAGAGTTAGCAGCCTATGTAGTGGGGCTCTGTCCCCATGCAGAGGACCAGGATGTCAATCAATTTGCCTCCTGTCATTTCTCTGTCTCCTTCTTTCAACTCATTATCTTCAATAAATGAAAACAAAAATATCTTTGAAACAAAAAAATGAAAACTTGTCAATTCTTTATAGCTACTTAAAGATTTTAGACAAATAAATCAAATATAAATACAATTGAACTGATGTGTGGTTTGCAGTAGTAACAGTTATTTGAGACAATAAAATGAACTTCCCTTAAATGTTCAGTTTGTAGCTTCTATCAAAAATAACCATCGTATTTCCTGTGACTGTACTGTCCCTCTGCTTCGTTCAGTGCTCCTAATGAAATGTGAAAGATTCCACCACGCCCAAAGAGAATTGAATTTTCAGATTGATCACTGATTTTGAAATCAAACTGTCACACTAGACAGTGATGATCAATTATAAATAACGATTCTGTTACTGCATTGCCTACTGTATTTCCTTCGCAGATGTTTTCAGAAATATATTGAAGTGTTCTGTTTAGCTGTAAAATAAGAACATTGGCTCCAGCCAGAGGTTTTTGGATTTCAAAATTACAGTCATTACCTAAAAAATAAATAAGGAGCTGCATGTGGGGTGGGTGTTTGATGTGGGAGGCCAGTATTCTGCTTCAGGAAAAAAATATAGCTGCTTTAGAGGGAACTACTTTTCTGGTCGACTGCTGATGTGTGTCGGTAGATTGCGAGTCACAGCCATTGTATTCAATTGGTGGTAAAAGCAAACAAGATTGGATCATCTCTCCTGTCAAGGTTTAACCTAAAACATGTTGTGTATGTTGCTGTCATGAAAACATCAGGGATTTTTTGACTTTGTGCCTCATATATTTTATTATGTGTGAACCCAACAGCCGTGGCCTGAGAGTCAGGACCCTCAAAACAGAGAGGTGCGTCAGCAGCGCTTCGCCCACTTCACTGAGCTTGCAATCATGTCCGTGCAGGAGATTGTGGATTTCGCTAAGCAGCTTCCTGGTTTCCTGGAACTCACCAGGGAGGACCAGATTGCTCTGTTAAAGACGTCAACCATTGAGGTTTGTCATTATTCACCGTGCAGCATGCATCCTCTATCTGAAGCTTCCAGTTTGAAAGATTTGTTTCACTTCATGCAAGGCATTGTCACAGTACGTAATTGATGTTACACGTGAAACTTGAAAACACTTATTTCAAATGGTGTGAACAGGGTTGCTTCCCGCATTATTTTCCAACGGTTGTGTATAACAGTTTTGCTGTATATCAATATTCCACTTACAAACATGTGTTTCCTCCTCAGATTATGCTGCTCGAGACTTCTCGGCGATACAACCCTACTATCGACAGCATCACGTTTCTGAAGGATTTCAGCTATAATAAGGAGGATTTTGCCAAAGCAGGTACCTATGCTTAAAATATTTGTATATTATGTATCTCTTAAGCTTATTACTGTATTTAATTAAACTTTCTTGTCTGGTGTTTAAACAAAGACATAATAAACTTAGTACTTTAAGAGTTATTTTTGTTTCATGCAAATAATAGTTTTTGCCCAAACTGGACAGCCAGCATCAGATATTGAATACAACATATGAAACACATGAATGTCAGGTTTGAGAATAGAGTATGTTTGATATGCCATTCATGTAGAAAAATAAACAGTTTTTCCTAACATTTCCTTCTTTAAAGTTTATTTTTTGTCCCTCCCTCAACTCCCCTCCTCAGGACTTCAGTTTGAGTTCATCAATCCCATCTTTGAGTTCTCAAAAGGAATGAATGACCTGCAGCTGGACGAGGCCGAGTACGCCCTGCTGATCGCCATCAACATCTTTTCCGCAGGTGAGAACTCTTAAACTACAAAGCATGCATTGAATCCTCAAGGAGAAAGGCATGTAAAACAGCTATTCATGTCATTTTCTATGTGAGAATGTGTCTGTTATAGTTGCTTTTTTCAGATGAACAGAGATAAACATGTTCCTATTTGTTTTGTTTAGATCGGCCAAATGTGCAGGATCATGGACTGGTGGAGAGGCTACAGCAACCCTACGTGGACGCACTGCGCTCTTACATCATGATAAAGAGACCAAATGTAAGTGCTGTGGTTGTGACCGACATGTCAGCATAACCTAACAGTCGTCATCACAACAACCACATTGGGTCATGGCTGGGGTTACATTGCTTTATTCAAACTGGAGGAGGGATGTTACAGGGTTTGGGTCATGTTTTCTTTCTAAATGCAGATAATGAATGTACGTCAATCTTTTTTCTTTAACATAAACTGAAAACAGAGCTCAAGTTCTACATTTTAAGTAATTCCTGCTGACATTTTGTAGGGCAGGAAGTCTCCTCTCAGTTTTTAATTCTTGTTTAAATGGCTTCCTCAGGATCATCTGATGTTTCCGCGCATGCTGATGAAGTTGGTGAGCCTCCGTACACTAAGCAGCGTCCACTCGGAGCAGGTGTTCGCCCTCCGTCTCCAGGACAAGAAGCTTCCACCACTGCTTTCTGAAATTTGGGACGTCAATGAGTGACGGCAGACCGGATGTCACACTCTGTGAAGTCTTGAGACAGACGTTGCATCAAGCAGGAACACTGACTCCTTTCTGCCGCTATCTGGTCAGGGATTGGTTATGCAGTGAGATTTATTTTTCTCGTGTGGGAGGAGAGCATCATTGCCCTTTTGCTCGCAAACAGACTGATACAATGTTTTGTGTTCAAATGGAAAAACATGAACGCCTAGTTGTCTTCGAGCCTTTTGTTCTTACTTTTGTGTAGATGCTGACATGATCATGGCGATATTGAATACCAGCATCGGGCTCTTTAGCCAGTTTTCTCTGATTTATTATTTGTCAATTTCTAGTGCAGTTTCTATACTCCCTCTAAGAATTATAATCTGAGCAGGTCTTGGTGGTGGATTAATCAGGATTAAATCTGCACATTAAAGGTGGGGTAGGTACATTTGAGAAACCGGCTCGAGATACACTTTTTGTTATATTCCATGGAATGCTCTTAACATCACGATAGCAATAAATATCTTAAGTGCTTTGACAACAAATCCATAAAAAAATGTAATCTGTGGAAGCCGTAGTACTGTACGACCAATCATTTTAGCCGGCCCGGCTAAAATAACTGGATGGCCTACCTGCCTGTCAGCCTTCCATCTGTGCACAAACTTATCTCGTGCCCTCATTGGTCATGTGCGCGTTCGTGTGTGTTGGAGGAGGGGCTCTGTAAGGAAGTGGCAGATTTTTTCCGGCTGTGTATTTTCAAATTCTAGCGATCTCGAGCTGGTTTCTCCAAAATTACCTACCCTACCTTTAAGGTTGAAATAGTTTTTTCTTGCAGTCGTGCAATAGGTGGAAATGGACACAGAGTGAAGCATGAGCATATGTGCTGTTCACTTTATCGATGTTTTGAAGACGTAGGCCACCTGGTTGGTATTGTGAATTGGCAAATAATTTGTGTTAGGCTGTGTCCTTTTGGAGTAAGTGCAGAAATGTAAAGGTGGGTGTAGTTGCTCAGGTAAAGTAAAGTAATGTGAAGTAGACCTCTGGGAATTAGAGGCTTCCTTAATTTCCATTAGATTACTTTAGTTTTCTTCAAAAGAGACCCTTTTGGTCATTTATAGATGCCCATTAACTTTCATGTAAATTGTATATTTATTTTCACAGTAAAAATGTATAGAGTGCACACATAGATTGTACAATCATAAACTAACGCACAAGAATGCAAACTGTGCCCTCATTAACAAGAAATGGTGTCAAGTCAATCTTTTATCACACAGAGCACTGGTAACTTGCAATGGGTGGTACTAATGTGTCTTTATTTACGTATGTAAAGATTAAACATCAGTTAAAAAGGAAGTCCAGCTACCATCTCTGTGAACTGACTTCCAAATAAATGAAAATTAATACTGACTGAAGTTGTATAAATGAATTAAATTTACAAAGATATCCCCCAATAATCACGTTATGTCATTATATGAATTGAACTTTCATTTCATCACAAAGTTATTTTTATATTTTTGTTTTATCACTAACAAATTAAGGTGTGAAAAAAGAACAAGCAACGTTTGAGTAGTTTAAAATGGAACATAGAACATTTGACAGCCCTTTTTATTTTTGATAATATACGACACTGAGGGAAAAAATGTATAGCTGAAATAATATCCGGTCGAAAACTATCTCGATCTAAAGGTCACCATGCTCTGAGTATCTTCCTTAAAAACTACTCAACACCAACAGCTTTAACGCTCAGATTGTTTGGAAAGCCTCACTGAGAGAAAAATATACCAACACATCTTTAAATGGGAATCCGTGAACTACAGGAAATGAGTAGTAACATTTATAACTATTTATACTCATGCATTCTCCTAAGAAGTGTAAACTTGAAATGCATAACGGATGATAAAGAAATGTCAATGCAAATTCATAACTGTGAAGTTTATTTTCTCATGTTGATGTTTGGACGAGGGCTGAAAATGGGATATCATAATGCCACTGTAGATTGTTTTTGGAGTGACAATTTATTGACAGCCTGTGTAGCCATTTCCAGGTATCACCATTAGACTTGTGATAGCAAACAGCATAAACAATTTAAGCTTTTCAAGGTGCCAGTTAAATTCGGACATTATACTTTATTGTATTGACTTGTTTGTTTTTTTCAGGTACAATTTATTTTGGCTTTTAATTCATAAAACTGCATTTAGAAGCTAACCTATTAGCTAAAAATGAAACAGTGATTCAAATACAAATGCAAACAACTGACTTTAGCACAGGCACAGTCAATAAATAATATGTAAATAAATATATTGATGTATAAAATGGGCAGATCTAATTATGATTTGTATAAGATAACAAGGGTTGTTTCTTTATCCCCCAACATGTCTGTATTGCTTATTTTTCTTGAAATTAACGACCTGTTGTGAAGCTCCAACAGCGACAAATTATGTTTCTTTTTCTTTAACTCAACATGCAGCAGACTTTAGGACGCGTGTATGAAGGATCTCAACAAAGAAGAAGAATACTGCAATACATGATTTAATTATTCATGCTAATAGCATAAAGGTGTCTGTTTGGTTTTGTGTGCTATTTGATTAATCCATGACGTATAAAATAGATTTTTGATAAAATGATCTGACGGCTAATTGGAGCAGTAGATCATCACCTCTCCCTCTACTCTTAGTAAACCTGCAAAGTGCAGTGAGCTCCACCTATTGGTGCCTTGTTGAATGAACAAAAACAAGTGTGTTTTCCTTCCACATTCTTTATTGCAATAACAGTGATATGTTCTCCAACATGCAGAATCTTCACAGGAACAAAAGTAGCCCGAGTGTTTTCCTCCCGCTCCCTCAACAGTCGCATAGCAAAACACCAGGCTACTGCTGAGCATTTGTTTTTCTGCTACTGGAAGCCAGTGCAGCCCAGGTATACAACATAAGCATCATTCCCATCTATTGTATTGCATTGCTAATTCAAAGGGTGCCTGCATGTCTTTCCATCCAGCAGGAAAACATAAAGCCAGAAGTGACCTGGCTTTTTCTGACCACGTATTGTATCAAGCCGTTTGACTTTCCCCTCAGAATTTCAAGGTTCAAGGTTCAAGGTTCTTTATTGTCAAACTGACATAGCTACAGAGTAATTATGTAGTTGAAAATCTTATGTCACAGGCTTCTCCAACAATGCAACATAAAACATTTGATTTACTTTTTATGTTTGCTCTAAAAGTATTTGTTCAAATTGATTTTCTTACATCCTTCCAACCCTTTGGTATTAATGGTTTTCATTTGGCAGGACGATCAATATTAAAGAAGCCGATGAATGTGAGAGTGTGCAGCATTTAAACCCCAACAAGGATTTATTTATCTTTGGGTCCTCCAAAGACATTAAAGGTGTGCTTTTAGTTTGCTGCTTGCAGGGTATCACTTGCCAAACGAATCGATTGAGTTTGGTTTGAAGTAGTCTCTGTAATACTTGGGGGAATTGTACACCATGCCCCAATTAAATCCATGGTCTACTTACAGGTGGACTTTGATAAAACTGAAATTATTTTGTCATGGGGTGCTGATCAAACATGCAAAGATGCATTTGTTGAGCTATTTTAATCTGAGTTTTTCAGTGTACATTTTATGTTAACGCTGTATCAAGTTTAATTGTACTGTATATACTGTCATTTTAATTTCTGATCTCATTTAATTCCTGTCTTCAAAGAGTGATACTGTAAACATTGATGTATAGAAATGCAACCTATTTTAATACTTGTAACTCCTGAATACCTTCTGTTTTGTATGCACAGTATGAATTAAAGCTACGCTGTAGTGCTGATATGATTGGAATCAAAATGACTTGTTTGCTGGTCAGATTTTATGTGTTGTGGTTTATTTGCTAAAGCATGAAACAGATTCATAATGGTGACTTCCATTGACAACTGATGGAAGTGCAGAGGCTTTTGAAAAAACTTAAAAAAGAGAGCTTGCTGTAATATTTGTGGTGTAACCTGTTTGTTAGGGTTTGATATGCTGCAGCTATAAGTATGTCGAGAAGATTTTCTCACAAATACAATACAACTACCCTGGACTTGATGTGTACAATTTAAAGGTTCCTGTTAAAAAGTCAGACTATTGATTGATTATTATAAACAAGCATATGAAAGCCCCGGGGTAGAATTACAGCTCCCAACATAGTATTTATATTTAATTAAGATCAAGCACTATTTGCGCAATCTTTAAATTGAAAGAAGAAGTTTAAAGCAAACCAAATTGGCAATCATAAGTAACCACACTACATTATCCCCTACACAGCTGTTGATGTACTTATTTTATTGTATTGTTTTAAAATATTTTGAACTCCAGTGCTTGCTGAAGCATTGAAGTGATAACATTAGGACACTATTTTTAATAACCTGCCCAGGGACTATAGATACAACATATTTGAGATAAACTGAAATATTGATAATGCGCACTGTCTCTGGTAAAGATAATATTTTATAATTAAAGCAAGTCTAAATGGTAGGCTACATGTAGTATTGATATGTTTTCTTCGCAAAGCTTCATTTTTTGATTTGAGTTATATTATTGTGATGAACATTGGTAATAATTGCAGTTTTGGGGGGGTGGGGTGTCTCCATAGGCCACTTGTATAGAGCCCTAAAAAGGCTTCGGCCGGCCCTGTCAGGCGATAAAACTTAACTAAAATACTTCAAACTGTCAGACTAATATTTTAGTGAACTATTAGAACCACGGCGGCACTAAAGTCAGTCCCTCTGGAGCGGTTGAGGTGCTTTTCCTCGGGCTTGTAGGATCTCTTCCGTTAGGTCTGAGTATGCGGAACTCCCTTTACACCGATGATGATGATGATGAGGAGGAGGAGGAGGAGGAGGAGGAGGAGGATGTTGTGAAGGCAGGTTGTAACTGACTGAGCCGCCCGTCCATCGAGCTCAGAGGCGGACACACACTTCACATCATTTATTCATGCTGCGAAACAGTCTGACGGAGAAGCTACCGCCTTTCAGCCGTCGTTTCCTAACGATACTTCGTGATATCAAATAAAGAAGGCTAATTCAGAATACCCACCGCCTCTCTGCGT